GACAAGAGGCGAGACGCGATAAATATCAAAACCTGTCAGATATGTGCGACAACCAGAAATTCGCTCTCGCCAGCGTTATTTCTCGCTTCTTGTTTGTGCATGGTTTTCCTTTGCGAAAACTAGAGAGCTCGCAACCTCTCGCTCAATCTAAATTCGCGTCTGCATAGTCGCACCCTTATTAAGCTTCCAAATTATATGTTCTGATTATATTATTTTGATAACCAAGTGGTGATTACATAATGCTTTCAATTCTTAAGGTTTCGAAAATTATTTGATAGTTATAAAATATTTAATTAATTAAAATTTTCAGAAATTTTTAAAAAGTAATTTTTTATAATTTTAAATACCAAAAAAATCTCAAAATCTAATTTAAGTTATTTTTACAAAATATTTATCTTAAGATAGTATTTTGTTTTCTTAAAAAATAGGTTATAAAAACATTCTTTTATACTATTAAATTTATTATTAAAATATTTAAATTTTAAACTGTTTTAATACATTGACTTATTTAATTTTTATCCATTTTTAGCAAGCTGTTTGTTATTCTATTTAGCCCTAACTAGAATTTCTGTTATATACAAAGTATTATGTGTCAGTTGCTTTAGCATTTGTTTGAAATTTTTATAACCTCAAATGGTTATTGATCAATAAAACACTAGATTTAAAATGTAGGTAGACAGAATAAACAGACAAGATATGGGTCACAGTGAAATAATAGTATTGTACACCTGTGGATTAGATAATCAACAACATGATTTTAAATGGATACAACAATTATTTTAATAATTACTGAAAAAAAGGAATTTAATGACAGTTTGTGATTAAAAAAAAACAAATTTTCTTTATTATAGATAAATTAATAAATACTTAATTTATAGATGTTTAATTTTTATTTAAAACCAATTTCTTATTTTTATATTTACTCTTCAATGTTTGTGCATAAATTAGTATTCATATTCAGAATGATATATAAAATTATCTATACTTTCTCTGATTATTTGTGATTGGATAATTTGCTATGTATGCCAGTAATTAGATTGTAGTGGATAGCTACTTTATTTCTGCAATTAGTTAGATAGATATCTAACAAACAAAAAAAAGTGGTTTGTGTGGAATTTGATTTGAAAAGCTTTTTTGACATTCCATGTATTGTATGTAACAGTTGTCGATACTGTTCTAGTTCAGTTTTATTAGTTTTAATAATGAAATGAACAGTTAGACAAAACCACTCATATCTCTAAACCTTTTACCGGTGCGCGTATCATCTCTCTCTATAACAGTTACAAACGTTTTCAAACCGTTACGGTTCTTCTTCAGGTGACGATCCCCTAACGGAATGCAGTTCAACGCTGTTACGAAATACGATCTGAAATGATGTCCCGACTGCATTCCATTAGGGAATCATCACCTGAAGAAGAACCGTAACGGTTCGAAAACGTTTGTAACTGTTATAGAGAGAGATGATACGCGCACCGGTAAAAGGTTTAGAGATATGAGTGGTGTAACATTACTACGGTGCTGATATTCCAACAATTGTTGAGTTAGACAAAAATAAGGGTTACAAACTTTCTAAATGTTCTGAATATTTAGGCATAGTATTTTAATTAATAATTAATCAAGAAAGTATATACTCATTAAAAACTAAGCAAAAGCATTTTCAAAACAAACAAACTGTGTGATTGGGACAATAACTTAACATATAATGAATAAACCAATTTTTCTAATAAAACTCAAAATTGCTTTATTGAAATACAGATTTAAATTAACAATTACTTCTACAGCACTTTTTGCTTTTCTCAATCAGAAAGTGTGGCTGACTAAACTCTATAAAATCATTAGTAGCTGTAGTTGTTGGAACAACTATTTATGATTTTGTAGAGAAATTCAGTTGCAGTTGTGATGGGCTTGGTTGTTTGAAAATGCTAGAGAAATGATTGTTAATTTTAATTTGATTACTAAAATAGAGTTTAAAGCAAATTTTGAGTTTTAATAATTTAACAATGCCTTTTATTTATTTTCAAGTACAAATATTTCTTGCTAAACATTTACAATAAAATACAAGTACAAAACAATCTGAACTTTAAATTCTAATGAAAGCTGGATATCTTAAAGCTAGATTAATCATTATTAAATAACAGTACTGGCTCAATACATTGTAATGCAGTTGTAATTTATATAGTTTTATTTTTATTTGATTTTGAAATAATATGACAATATAAGTAATAAAAAATATAAGTCTTATTATATGTATAAAAGTTAAAGAAACATGTTCTATATTTGTTCAAAGTAAAAGGAAAATTCAAATTTGATTGCTAAATCAAGAAAAAAACCCAAAAGAATGTAATCAAATCACAGTGAATGATATTTGCAGTTTACCTATATTTTTTTATTGTACAATATAGGGTAATTTTCAGTTGAATATTTTATAGGCCCTAAATTCTTTCACATAACAGACCTATATGTTAATTTTATTAAACACCATTTATCTTTTTATGTTAATAAAAATTAAGAGAATATATTTTGGCTTATTTATGTATTCTTAGAATATCTTTCCTTCTGAATTTTAATGTGTCTATAGAATAATTCATCATAATTTGTACAAAACTTTATTTATGTCTGCATTCCAGGCATGCACTTTCATATAATTCATGACCACCTACTAATATGAATATCAAGACAAAAGATTGAAGATATTCCATAATTTTGCATAATTTAAAATGCTATTATACCCTTAAACATAAAAGTAATTGTCTCTAGTTAACCTTTGTCTCTGCAATTTTATATTTATTTATTTTTTAATTTGAATAGTCTAAACTTTTAGCTTGGTCTTAGATAAGAAGTATAGATGAGAACAGTAATTCTTATAGAAAAATATGTCAAGAAGGCAATAAGATAGACCTAATTTGTTTTTCCTATTTACTCTTTCTGCTCTGCGGGCATTAAGATGGGATATTTTTCTCCCATTGTGAATTTGGCCAGGCCCATAATGGAGCCAACAAGTGGATGAGGAATGAGGCCCAACACAGCTGGAACAGACAACACATGAAAAATTCCTGGAGTTCTCTGCTTTCCCAGATTCTCTCCTGAGTTCCCCATAACAGCAGGCTGATACCTTTACTGTTGTGATCAACTGGTCAATGTTTTCTGTTTTAGTGGTTTTATTTTCATTAAAAATATTTTATACTATAATTACACATTTAATGTTGATAAATCTGTAGTGGAAGGCAAACTTGCTTTGATATTTTGTTTATATCATATTGTATCAACTTTTGTAAGTACAGTAGATTTTGTTTATTTGGGCCAAATGGCAGAGAACAGAAACAAATCAATATTTTAATTTCTAATATTTTTAATTTGCACTGCTTATTTGGACCATTCACCTCTTATTTGGACAGTGACAATTGTAATTGAATAGGAAACTAAGGACAGTGGGCCTCTAGTTACATCATATTTATTTTAAGATGCACTATAGAATGGGCAAATTCAAGAATATAGAAAATTCTATGGATTATTATTCTGTGGATATTCTTGAATTTGCTAGACTTAAAGAAGTTATGTTGGAATAGAAACAAACCAGTTTTGGTGTCTACTTGATTTGGTTTGTTTACCCATAGCAGATTGAACTTTACAGGAAGTTCCTAGAAGAAAGTATTGCAAGTGACCAAGTAAGCAAACCAATCGGACAGGGAACACAATCATTTATGAACTATTGCATTTTCAGAAAGTTAGTGCACGCTAGCTACCAAGACAGCTTTTAGCTTTTGACTGGCACAGAAGAATTGAAATCTTTGTAGAATTAAAGGAGCATTTTAACAAGGAAGGCCAGGATTTTCTGGATTACATCATATGTGGCAAAACTTGGGTGCATCATTTCCATCCTAGGATGGTTCAGACTGGAAATATTTTTATGCTGAAGCTTTCCAAGTATCAGTTAAATGCTGGAATAAGTGTATAAATGTAGCAGGAACATATATTGAAAAATAAATGCATTGACATCCTCTCTTTTA